ATCATGTCGTCGACGTACGCCTCCATCGTCCGGCCAAGGACCGCTCTGAAGATTTTGGCCACCATCCTAGTATAGGTGGCGCCGGAGTTTTTGAGTCTGAAGGCCATGACGAGGTAGCAAAATATTCCCTCTGGGGTCATGAATGCCGTCTTCTCGGCGTCATCTTCGTGCATGGAGATCTGGTGGTACCCTCTGAAAGCGTCGAGGAACGACATCAACTCGCATCCCGCCGTCTCGTCCACCAACTGATCAATGTTGGGGAGAGGGAACGGGTCCATGGGGCACGCCTTGTTCAGGTCAGTGTAGTCAACACACATTCTGAACGTCGGCGGTTTCTGTGTGAGGACGACGTTGGCCAACCATGTCGGGTACTTCACCTCTTTGATGTGTCTGATTGAGAGGAGCATGGCGACCTCCCCTTTGACGAAGTCCCGCCTGTCGGCGGACAAGTAGCGCCGCTTCTGTTTGACGGGCGCGGAGGCCGGATCGACGGTCAGCCGGTGAGTGATCACCTGGCGGCTGATGCCTGGCATATCGTCCGGGCCCCACGCGAAGACGACGGCGTATGACCGTAGGACGAGGAGGATGGCGTCTCGTTGGTCCTGGGGGAGTTGCTTTCCGACCCTGAGAACCCGCTCCGGCCGGGAGGTGTCCAGAGGGATTTCCTCGACCTCCTCGACCGGCTCCGCATGTGGCCTCTCCTCGTCCATGGCGACGGCGGCCGTAATGGTGTCTATCCGCTGTCCTTCCCTTTCGGCCGGCCTCGTAAGCTTGAGGTAGCAAGCTCTGGCTATCCTCTGATTTCCTCTGGCGTAGCCGGTGCCGTCATTGGTGGGGAACTTCAAGAATAGGTGCTTCATGGAGATGATGGCCTCCAAGTCCTCCAGCGCTGGCCGGCCCAAGATCAGGTTGTGGGCGCACCGGAGGTTGACCACCATGAACTCCATGTCAATATTGGCGTGGTGGGGACCGTCACCGACCTCCACGGGGAGGACTATCGTGCCCTCGGCGTCGATAGAGTCCCCGGTGAAGCCGGATAACGGGGTCTTGATCGGCTTCAGCAGAGCCCTGTCCAGCTTCAGCTGCTTGAAGGTGTCCAAGTACATCACATTGACGGAACTACCCGTATCGATGTAAGTACGGTGGATGATGGAGTCACCGATCTCACATCGGATGACGAGGGCATCCCCGTGTGATTCCGTACCTGGAGGCAGATCCTTGTCGGTGAAGGTGATCGCCTCCGTCCGCTGCTTCTTCGGCTGGGGGGGAACGTGGGACACCTCCCCAATGTAAAGGGATTGGGCCCATTCTTTCTCTGAGTGGCGGAGTCCCCCCCAGTGTTCCCACCTACGATGAGGTGGATGTGATTCTTCTTTGGCGGAGGCTCCTCGAAGTCCTCGTCGTCGCTGAGCCTACCAATCTCGCGTTTCTTCGCAGAGGGTTCGCCCCCATGTCTGCCGGTGTTTACCCAAGTGTTCTTGCGTGGGCCACCTTTGACAAACTGGGAGAGTTCCCCCTGGCGAATAAGACGCTCGATGGCCTTCTTCAATGTGATGCAATCGTCGGTATTGTGTGACGAGTTCTTGTGGAACCGGCAGTACGTGCCGCCCTGCTGGATGGCCAGGATCTCCTCGGCCGGCCGAGGAGCCTGCTCGATGAGGCCGTGCTTCTCGGTATAATCGAGGATGGTGCCGACCGGGTGGGTGAGGGCTACCCCCGGCCGTTCCAGCCTCGGCCGCCAGTGGCGGTCTTTCTTAATTTGTCCACCAGAGCCGTGGCGGCCCTGGGCACCCTGGCCGGCCGGGGACGGACCCGAGGCCGGCGAAGGATTTGTCTTCTTGGGGGGATGGCCCCCCTCTCTCTTGTGATTGTGGAGCTCGTCGGCGTCGGCATACAAGCCTCCGCGTTGGAGCGCCTTGGCGTACGACCTCGGGGGGTCGGTGATGAGGCTCCTGGCGTACGGGGAGCTGCGGAGGGCTCCCTGGTACAAGGCGAGGAGGGTGCGCTCATCGGCCCCCTCGACCTCCTCTGTCTCCCTCGTCCAACGGTCGATGAATGACCGGAGGGATTCCTCGTGCTGCTTTTTGACGGAGAGGAGGTGGGTGAAATACTTCTTGGCGCGCTTCCTTCCGGCAAAGTGAGTGAGGAAGCGCTGGGCGAGATCTTGCCACGAGTCAATGCTTCCCTCTGGCAGTCCGTTGAACCACTCGTACGCTGGCCCCTCGAGAGTAGAGAGGAACCAACGGCAGAGGTATTCGTCTGACGCATTCACCATTAGCATGTTGTTTTGATAGCGGCTGAAGTGCTCCTGGGGGTCTGATCGGCCATCGTAGGACTTGATGGCGTTCCCCCTGTATTTCTCAGGGATGGGGGCCGAGAGGACCCTGTTGGTGAAAGGGGTCCTAGTCCTGACCTGGATGACGGGGTCACCCCGCCCTTCGGCCAGCTCCCTCTCCAGGGCGCTGACTTTGTTCATGAGCGCGTTGAGGCCAGGGTCGTTGGAGGCGCCGGCCGTAGGGATGTTGGCCGACTGCTTGGCCTCCATCTGAGCCAACCTCCTCTCCAGCTGGGCGATGACCTCGTCCCGGGGGTCTCTGTCGGCCGCAGCGGCGCCCGGTTGGTTCCTCAGGCGCTCGTTGTGAGCCGCGTTGATCTGGTGACGCACGTCATCCTCGTGCAACTTCCCCTTGCCTTTGTCCGGGCGGGGCTGGTCCGCTGTCCGGGACACAGACCCCAAGCTTTCCTTTGGCGAGCCAGGACGAGGATCACCAATCCGTCCCGCCATCCTCTCCGAAGCCGGACGACGGCGCGTGTCACCTAGCCTATTGAAGGCGGAGGCTTTTCCACGCGCTGGGGTCTGCCCGGGCCGAATAGGGGAAGCAGGGTGGGAGTGGGACGACGCCGTGTCCTGGGCCACAACCCCCTCATTGTTGCCTATCTGGTCGGCCAGTGGTTGGGGATGAGGAGGTGGAGTGACGTTTCCCCCGGTCCTTGGCAAGAGCGCGCTGAGGACGGTGGGGTTCTGAGCCAGGCTGGCGATGATGACCGACAGCGCGGCCTGGACCTGTGGATCCACGGACGGAGAGGCCGCGGCCATAGGCTGGGCCGGGGCGTGGTCCGTCTTCTCAGCCCGTCTCTTCTCCAGGCCGAGGCGGGCGTCGGGGACTCCGCTGTTGAGTTGGTTGCGGAGGTCCGTCGTGAGGTTGAAGGCTTCCTGGAAGAGGTCCCCTTCGCCGACCTGGTCGGCCGTGGCGTCCTCATCGTGCTCCCTGGGCTCTTGGTCCTCAGGGATGGCTTTGCTGACGAGGTTGCGGTTTGACTTAGTTCTCCCCATGATCAGTGGTTAGCTGTGCTTGGTAGCGACGAAGGGTGCTAACTTGATTGTTCTAGCTCTCAACGAGAGCACCGAATGATGGAGTATTAACTCCTAGATTCTAGAGAGAAGTGAGAGTTAGAGAGAGAAGTGCAATAATATGCTTCAATAGAATGATTTGTCACCCCTATAACTACTCCCAAGGGGAGTATTTATAGAGAAAATTAGGGTTGGGCTCCCAAGCCTTGGGCTTGGGAGGCCCACTTACAACTGGACCGCTACTGGGCCGAATACAAAGCCTCTAATGGGCTGTACAAATGAGTAAGTATAGGATCCGATTCTGGGAGGTCTTCGAGGCCGACGAGGGCGTGGCCGACGAGGGCACGGCCGACGAGGGCGCGGCCGACGAGGGCACCCGAGTCCCTTAGACTCAGGACCGTAATCTGAGTTGGCACCTTTTCGGCCGACGGGGGCGTCATGGCCGACGAGGGCGCCACTCTGTTGTCTTGTGCTCCGTTCTTCCGAGTATGTGGGTCCCGGGGCTCAGACCCATATACTCCATCAATATATATATATAATATGTATATATATAATATGTATTTATAAGTAGATAAATAATATAAGTAGATATATAATATATTGGAAAATAAGAGAATGTGAGAAGATGAAGATAATTAGAGAGTAGAGAGTATGATTTAGGAAGAAGTGGAGAAGAGATATGGAAAAATGTTTAAGATTAGGAGTATTTATAGTTTTTTTTTACCACACCCCACCCCCACCCTCCCCCCACCCCAAACTGCCCGAACCCCCCCTTGCCAGCCCACCCAACGGCTATATAGCCGTTTGGCTAGTCCCCAGCCCACCCCCAACGACTCTTTTGGTCAAAATGATTCTTTTGGTCTACACCCGGTCCCGGACCGCCAGACCGAGCCAGTTCCGGGCCCACACAGTAGCGGGCCGGGTGGCCCGAACCGAATCCAACCCTATATAGATAGGGGTGGACTGGTTCCGGTTCAGGCCTGGTTCGGGCCCGGGCCCGCCCGGGCCTCGGTTCATGAAAGGGGAGGTCCGGAACCGGCTCGGGTAACCCCCAGGTCCGGTCCGGGCCGGGCCGGGCAGGGCCGGGCCTCGGTTCATGTAATTTTTTTTGGCTTTTCCTAATATAATGGGCGGGCCGGCGGGTCAAAAATGGTGGACCCGGGACCGGCCCGGGTAACCACCGGGTCCGGGCCGGGCCCATTATATTTTTTTTGTTTTCCTCTTCCTAATTAACCCCCTCCCACCCCCAACCCCCAAACCACCCCAAATGGCTCAAAATACCCAGTCCAACCCGAAAATTTAAAAAAATTGAAAAAAAAAATAGTTTTTTGCCCGAACCGGGCCTGGGCCCGGCCGGGTCGGGCCTTGTTTTGGGTGACCCGAGCCCGGACCGGAAAACCCACGGGCCGGGCCTATCCGGACCGGTCACTGACCGGGCCACCGGGTCGGGCCGGAACAATATCGGTCCCGGGCCGGTTCCGGGTCGGGCCACCCGGCCCGAGTCCATCCATATCCCAAACCACCTCAAATGGCCCATCATACCCAGCCCAACCCAAAAACTTAAAAAAAATTCAAAATTGAGCTAGGAAAAATAGGCTGGGCCTGATTACGCCCCTTTCAGTATTCAAAAGCCAAGTCTAATAATTTACAATAGAGGATGACAGTGGTGGGCATAGCTCAACTAGTACTAAGGGAATACCCACTCTCTAAAATCCTTTTTTTTTACAATAGACGATGCCCTTCCCAGACTCCAATTCCCAGTTCTGATTTCCCGTAGGGTCCTGCTGGTCGACGATCCACTGCTCTTTCGTTCCGGGCTGGCGGCTGCTGTTTTAAACTGGACAAATTCATTGTTCTTCCAGGTATGCTTCAACTTCCAACCCTATGACTTTAATCATACAAAAATATATCTGTTTCAAACCTCACTTACGTTCAGTTGGAGAGGGTTTAATTTGTCAGTCGTTACAAAAAACTCCACAGTATACTTTATGTGTTCGGAATTCCCCATTTAGGACTTGGTTTATGTTTGCCGCAGAACCGCCAGAACGAGTCTTACAAGTTCAAAATTTTAGTTTTTTTATAGAAGTTCAAAATTTTAATGGTGTAAGCGGTTCCCATGCATATTTTTAAATATGAATATAACTATGTGTACACTTGCACAATGACAGGTTGACAGTAGCCAGTTATCTCTTAATTTAATGTGTATAAGATAAGATGAACTCATGTTTTCAATTTCTCTTTTGCACTTAATATTAGTTTCTAGTCATAGGGTAACTTTGTAGTCTCTGTTTTGTTTGTTTTTGAGCAGGTGATTCTCAACATGAATTTCGATTTGGATTACTATGTTAGAAAACATCCCAATGTCTCGAAGAGGGAGATGGAGAAGATCTGGGAGGTTGTAACCGGTGTGACCAAGCCGGAGTATTGTAAGGGTCTTTTTGAGTTCCGCGTAGAAACTCTTGATTATGAAAAAGGACAAGAGAAAGTTAACGGTAAACCATCGGTTCGAGCAACCCCGCTAGTTCAAATTTTTAGCGTTGATGTTAGACCAGTTGTGTTAGGTAAAAGAAAGTCATTAGGTGTTTTTGGACAAATATGCACTAATAAGCATCAACTTTACAACCGAGAGTTTAATGATTTAGAAACCCTTGGCGCCGATGGCGGCACATTAACACTCTGTGGCCCTTCACCCTTTTGTTGTTCATCTCTAGCCATTTTGTCACCTCTAAACACAAAACTGTTTATTACACTATGTGATGAGGGTCATAAGGTATTGATTCAAGATTGCATTAGTTTTGACTTTGCGGATGGCGAATTTGAAGAAGTCAAAACTAAATCTATAAATGGTGATCAAGTAGTGCTTAATTTGAAATACGTTTCAATTCCCATGGCAGTTTATGCGCGCTTAGATTTAAGTTTCGTTAATAAAAAATTCTCAAGAAGTGTTGTGGATTCCGTTGACTTTCTTAACGTGTACGGAAAAGTTGTTGCTACATATCGGAACACTTTTGGCAACTACGATTCTGAGGAAATCGTTCTCTTTGAGAAGAAAAACGATGAATATGAGAGGGTTGGGGTTGACTTAGAAAATGAGTTGACACTCTCGAGGTGTTGGGTGACTCTACCGGCATATTCTTTGTTGGTTATTCATTTGAACCTATTTGAATATGGGAGTGAAGATAAAATATTAGAAGAGACTATTGAATTTGAAGCTCAGAGTTGTGTTGCATCGGGGGAGACGTTTATTGTTGGTGATTTGGGGTATATCTATTAATCTTTCATTATTGTCGTTGTCAGTATTGTTGTTCCCCTCATAGTTTTTTTCTTTATTATTCTTTACTTTTTAAACGTTCAGTTTATGTTTGTACCCAATTTGAAATTATGTGTTTTAGGTAATTGATGATAGTGATGATGACACTGATACAACTATGTTAACTGCCAAAGAGGGAAACGATATTGAGGCACCTCAACTGGCTTGGTAAGTTTCTCTTGAAATAGTTCAATTTTCACTTGAGAAGTTTTTAGTATTACTGTATTAGGGTGGGATCGCTATCCCGAATTCAGGCATTTGACTACAAAGTGTATATCAAGTTTGCATTTACTTGAAGCGGGAGACAGGTTGAAAGAATATGCCATTTCTTTATTAGTTCTTTTACATCTCTATAATCTATTTAAATTATTATGTGTTATGCTTGCTTCTTTGAGAATATATCAGCTTCATGTATCATAATTGTGAAATTATTCTATATTTGAGAAATTTGTTATTTTGAGAGTTGCACTAGCTGAAATTTGTTATCACTGGCTGATTTTTCAGTATCCCTCTCACTTATTTTAATTTGTCCATGAAACCCTAAAATATAGGAATGAAAATGTGAATTTTCATTTTCTGGACTAAATAATCAGCCCTCAATAAATAATTTTTCATTTTAACTAGTCTTCACTGTCTCAATGTCCTCTCTAGCCTAAATTGAAGTAGAGAACAAATTTATCTTAACTCGTCTTTAACATTCATGCATTAATAATTTGTCCACCTTGTTTTTGGTAATATACAAAAATTTAGACACTTCTTTTAAAAAACAGACTACCTTTAAGGTGTTGTCACTCTATATCTTTTTTTTTTTTGCATTCATTCCTTTATAAACTTGGTTTGTTTACAATATCCGTTCATTTTACATCAGCTTTTGAAAACATATGGTTTGAATATGGGATACTCAATAAGTCAATATTAGTATTTCCTTGAGGACGATTCTTGAATCTATTTAGTTTTCATCTTATTAACTTACATTGAAAAGCAGTGGATTTGAAAGCAAGCAGTTTATTTGTCCTCTATGATAAGTTCTTTGTTGGTTTTGACTTCATATTATGATTTTTTTGGTAAAATTTCCCTTACGAGTTGTAATTGTTTTTTAGTTTCACCCCTCTCACTTCATTAGCTTTGTGCCTATATATTGATTATTTGGTCAGGACTCTTCATCCACACATAAATAAACCATGCCCATCACCAGCAATAGAGGTGTTCTCGGTCATCATTGGTCGGGAGAATTGGAAAGAAATGAATATATATGGCTCAATTGAAGTATCGTTCGATTATGGTGGGTTCAGTGTCTTTAAAAAAAATGAAGGCGTTACTGTGAGGTTACTTGAGGGAAGGAAAAGTTTACCAATGTTAAATGGATCCGGAGTATTCGAGGATTGTTGTTCGTTGAAGTTGGAGTGTGATTTGAAGGATGTGTGTGATTCCACCCTAAACATCAAGGGATATGTTGAGTGGGATGCCGGGGTTCTAAGTTCTTCTTTATTTTATGACCGGCATTTGTGTGCAGTGATTCAAGGAGAAAGTGGATTTGCAGCTCTCCATTATTCCATCTTTTTAAGTGCTGTGCAAGCCAACCTGAAAGTCTTCTATAAGCCCAAAAAGAGATTACCGGAAACTATCGATGCCCCTCCAAGTGTTTGGGGAAGTCTTCTTGCTCGATGCGGAAAGTTTGAGTACTTATCACAATATAGCAGAGATTGCTATAAAACCATGCTATTCGAGAGAACTGAGGAGGATTCCATACAAATCATTGGTGATGGCATCGTTCCACTTTCACGGTCTGTTGTTGTTGTTGTTGTTGTTCCATCCGATTCCTTTCTCGTGATTGATGCTGACCTCACACTGTACAATCAAAGGCTGTTGTGCACCAGAAAATTTGGCATTGGTACAAGTTTTGCAAGTGTTGAGTTTGACGAATATGATGTTTATTTTGAGGTGGAATGGAGTGATATCAAGTAAATGTGTGTAGTACTTTCCATTGTTGGCTTCAATTGCCAAGTAGGAAGCTTTTATGTAGGCCGACTAATTATTGTGTAAAACATTGTTATTTTTGTGTTCTGTTCGCTATTCAAACCCTTAATCATCTGAAGATTGTTTGCACCCGGCGATATAGTAGTTGGCCGGTATGTGTATTATTTCGTTATTGAACATATGGGGCACTAATTATATTATCTTCTGATTGTATTTTCACATTCTATTAAAAAGTTGAGATTACTATTATGTATTTTTTGGTATTGGGTTCACAATAGAATGTAAACGTCAATACTTGTATGAAAAGGTCCGTACTCTGTAGCAGATTACATGTGGTTGAAAATCTGCACCCAAAACTTGAGAAACTTCAAACATGTTCGGGTAATCTTGTAGGTGGACAAATGAAAGCGTGACATCTTGGTTTATTTACAAACGAAAGGTTGACTAGTGAGGCATGACTAATAATAAGGTGAAAATATGAGTAATCAATTGGGTTCTAAGGTTTGGGATGGTAGCTATTATTATTATTATTAATTGTTGTTGTTGTTGTATTAGTTTTAAGGTTCTAAGGTTGACTACTGTATTAGTTTTATTGCTTTTTAAAAACACCCAAAAATTCACAAAACAAAAAAATTAATTGCACATGGCCCTTCACACCCCGTGTGAAAGAGCGTGTGCTGCTTTAAACATTCTGTCTTGAGCATACGGGCGTACACACACCGTGTGGGATTCCGTGTGCACCTCTGGACATTCTGTTTGGTTCACGCGGCGCTGTACACGGCCCTGTACACGCCGTTTGCACTTAAATGAAAAAAATTAGGATTGGTTTACACACGCCACACAAACACGCTATTTTCTTCTCTCTTCCTCCCCTGCGCGACCAGCAACCTGCGAGCAACCAGGCGCACGTTTTCTTCCATTTTTTTCGGCGGCTTTATTCAAATCCTCTCCCCTCTTCATCCTCAGTCAAGGTATGTTCCATCTCCATCTTGTTCTCCTTTATTTCTTGGAATTGCGAGCTTATTTGTCCGAAATTCATGACTTCGAAAAATGGGGGATTTCAATTTTTGGGCTCGAATTGTGCTTTAATTAATGGTTAATGTGTTCTCTTGTTGTTGTTAAGCCATGTTTGTGTTGAATCCCCAATTTTTGAGCCAAGTGTTGTCCAATTTGAGAATTTAGGGTTCTTACCTAAACGTGACATTCTTGTTGATTAATTTTTGGAAGAACCCTAGGTTAGAAAAATGTTTTGATGATGAATTCTTGTTTAAACTGTGTGTCGTTGAAACTTTTGATTTTATTCAAAGATTTTTCTTTGGGAAATATTCTAAAATTTTAATTATTCCGGTTAAATTTGGAATTGATTCAGTCATTTGTGATGATTGAGCTTCGTTGTTGCTTTCGTTTTTGAATTGTTGTACTTGTCCCCAATACTTGGAAGGCTCGTTGGAATCTTTTCTTGTAATATTTTTTGTAGATGGCACGAACTAAAAAGTCTGCCAAGGGCTCTAGAGACACAGCCGGAGATAGCAATGGCGGTACTGCCTCTGCTGCTAGGGAGACCCATGAGATTCAGACCCATAAGGCCTTATATAATTTGTACCTCAAGGAGTCCTTAGCGCAGGTCGGGCTCAAGGAACAAGTTTTTCGCTTGCTACGACGTCCTTGGTGGCAGCATTTATTTTTTGGTATTCGTGAGCCAACTTACCTAGAGCTTACTTGAGTGCTATCTTCAATGAAAGTCAAGAAAGTCATAGAGAACGGTTTTCCGACTTTTAGTACTCCTTTCTCCATCAGCACTGACCAGTTAGCCAAATACTTGGGGTTCCAGTTCAGTACAAGCGATTTGAGGCAAGTTGGGCCAGAGCTTGTCAAGCTTCCCTCATATGTTAATCGTGCTCAATTTTGGAGACCTATCACGGCTGACCAAGCAAAGCTCAGAGCACCCAATTACACCCTCCCGAGCTACGAGTAGTCCATCATCTCCTCGCATCTTCGATTACAGGACGTTTTGAAGGGGGTAGTCCATCATCTCCTCGCATCTTCGATTACAGGACGTTTTGAAGGGGGTAGTATTGTTATTACCACCAATGTCCTATGTTTCTATTGCATTCAAAAGGACAGAGGCAGGGGCGGATCTGGTATAGGACCAGAGAGGGCCCAAGCCCACACTCAACAAAAAAATTTACTAGTATATATATGTATATTTTATATAGTGTTTTGGAGAAATAGTATAAAAACAAGGAAAGCCAAAATGTTAGCACTAGCCATTTTGGTGTGACTGAACTCACGGAAGTCACCACGCATGCAGCACAAACGTCATGTGTTCCATTCCCATGGGAATCATAGTTTTTATTTTTTAAATTTCTGTTGGAGAGAGCAAGATTTTTTTAAAATTTTCAAATATCCTATACCTAAAAGCACTACACTGGAGAGAGAAAATTCTCCCGTCTAAGCAATATCTGCCTAAAATCCTAAAATGTAATTTCTTTTTTCGAAAAAAAAAATCATCATATATCTTCTTATATACCTAAAAGCACTACACTGGAGAGAGAAAAATCTTCCGCCTAAACATTCTCCGCCTAAAATCCTAATATGTAATTTCACTTTCCGCAAAAAAAATCATATATACCTAAAATCACTACACTGGAGAGAGAAAATTCTCCCGACTTAGCCTAAAATCCTAAAATGTAATTTCATGCTATACCTAAAAGCATTACATTGGTGAGATAAAATTCTGCTTAAGCATTCTCCGAATAAAATCCTAAAATGTAATTTTACTTTTCGCAAAATAAAAATCATCGTATACCTAAAAGCACTACATTAGAAAGAGAAAATTCTTCCGCCTAAGCATTCTCTGCCTATCCTATGCTACACCTATAAGCACTACACTGGAGAGAGAAAATTCTTCTGACTAAGTGTTCTCCCTCTAAAATCTTAAAATGTAATTTCACTTTCCGCAAAAAAAAAATCATCACCCTATCTTATACCTAAAAGCACCACACTGGAGAGAGAAAATTCTCCTGCCTAAACATTCTCTGCCTAAAATCCTAAAATGTAATTTCAATTTCCGCAAATAAAAATCATCATATCATCATCATCATCATCATGTACCTAAAAGCACTACACTCGAGAGAGCAAAATCTCCCGCCTAAGCATTCTCCATCTAAAATCCTAAAATGTAATTTCACTTTACGCAAAAAAATCATCATCCTATACCTAAAAGCACTACACTGGAGAGAGAAAATTCTCCCGCCTAAGGATTCTCTGCCTAAAATCTAAAATGTAATTTCACTTTCCGCTAAAAAATCATCCTCCTCCTATATATATATATATATATATATATATATATATATATATATATATATATATATATATATATATATATATATATATATATATATATATATATATATATATATATATATATATATATATATATATATATATACACATATACCTAAAAGCACTACACTAGAAAGAGAAAATTCTCTCGCCTGAGCATTCCTTCTCTGCCTAAAATCCTAAAATGTAATTTCACTTTCCGCAAAAAAAAAAAATCATCACCCTCCTATACCTAAAAGCACTACACTTGAAAGAGAAAATTCTCATGCCTAAGCATTCTCCGCCTAAAATCCTAAAATGTAATTTCACATCACCCTCCTATACCTAAAAGCACTACATTGTAAAGAAAAAATTCTCCCGCCTAAGCATTCTCCGTATAAAATCCTAAAATCTAATTTCGCATTCTGCAAAAAAAATCATCATCCTATCCTCCTATACTTAAAAGCATTACATTGGAGAGAGAAAATTCTCCCACATAAGCATTCTCTTCCTAAAATCCTAAAATGTAATTTTACTTTCCGCAAAAAAAAAAAATCATCATCCTATCCTCCTATATACCTAAAAGCACTACACTGGAGAGAGACAATTCTCCCGCCTAAGCATTCTCTGCCTAAAATCCTAAAATGTAATTACATTTTCCACAAAAAGCACTAATCATCATCCAATCTTATCCTATACCTAAAAGCACTACACTGAAGAGAGAAAATTCTCTCTCCTAAACATTCTCCGCCTAAAATCCTAAAATGTAATCACACTTTCCACAAAAAGCACTAATCATCATCCAATAATCCTAAAATCCTAAAATGTAATTTCATCCTCCTATACCTAAAAGCACTACGCTGAAAAGAGAAAATTTTCACGCTTAAGCATTCTCCGCCTAAAATTGTTAGGTTTGCAATGACCATTAATAAGAGTCACGGACAATCGTTGAAAAAGGTTGTCATCTTACTCTGATGCCCACACTCACAAACATTTGTATGTGGCGGTGTGGAGAGTAACAAGTTCATGGGGTTGGAGTTTGTAATGACGAAGATGGACAACCAACTAAATCAACATTGAATGTTGTTTACAAAGAAATATGTACTATAGCATAATTTATAATTTTCGTTATAGTGTAGTGGACTTAAATGCACATCCATTTCATCGTGTGATGTTTTACATTTAGTTCTTACCATTTATTCAGAATTTATTTAATGCTTTCAAATAATTCTAACACAATTATATTTTTTAAATATTTTTAAATGTATAATTATATCTAAATTATTATGTGGGTGTCTCACTCCCGTGCAGCGCACGGGTGGAGTAACTAGTTCTCCTTCAAGTAGTGGTGGATTCGGGCCAGGTCCGGGTTGGGCCTAGGCCCGGGCGGGCCGGCGGTTCAGGATTGGTGGACCCGGGAACAGCCTGGATAGCCACCGGGTCTGGGCCGGGCCTCCGGTTTGTTTTTTTTTTGCTTTCCTAACCCCCCACCCTCCCAAACCCCTCCTAACCATCAAGCCCAACCCGGGTGGAACCCCAAAAAATGAAAACAAAATCAATTTGGCCCGGACCCAGACCCGACTCGGCCGGGCCGGCTCGCCAAATGTGAGACCCGAGCCCGGTCCCGCCCTACCCCCGGGCCCAGGCCTGACCCGGATCCGGACCCGAGAACTGGGCCGGGTGGCCCGACCCGAGTCCACCACCACCTTCAAGTATTTTCCATTTCAACTCAATCTCCAATTTGTACATTCTCAACACAAATCTTAATTGCCTAAACAACAAATTAGTTTAGTTCAAATATAGTACTTTGTAGTATACAATGTCAATATTTACATGGAGGATTGAAAACTTCTCAAAATTAGATGAGCACCTATGTTGCACGGAAACGCGAAAATCATGAGGAAACGGGAAACGGGAAACGTCAACTTTTGCTCAAAAAAATGCTTATTTGGAGAGTTTCCAAAGAGTTTCCGAAAGTTTCCGAAACGGGAAACATACTCTTCCTCGAGAGTTTCCGTGCTACATAGATGAGCACCGATGGGATTTCTGTCTTTATTCAAAAGGAAACAGTACAGATCATTTATCTCTGTACCTCAATTTAGCTCACACGGGCAGCTTACCCCCAGTGGGATTACATCCTCCCAACGTACTGTCCGGTCGGAGTTGTGTCTACCGGCGAATATTTTCCCAACATTTTGGTTAGGAATCATGGCCTTAGTTGTGTCCACCGGCGAATATTTTCCCACCAGTTCTTTTTTTTTTTTTGGTTAGGAACATTTTAGCATATTTTCCCACCGGTTCTTTTTTTTTTTTTATTTTTTTTTATTTTAGGTTAGGAATCATGGCCTTAGTTGTGTCCACCGGCGAATATTTTCCCAACATTTTGTCTTTTTGTGCTATTAAAAGCTCGTTTCAGCCTACTTTTGTCACGCTTAACTATTAAAGAGTGATTCTGATAAACCGAAGAAATGTTTCAGAAGAAGAATCTGACTTTACAAAAATAGAAGAAAAAGAGTAGGTTGAAAAAAAAGAATAAAAAAAGAAAAGGAAATAAAAGAAGAAAAAAAAATAGTACTTTGTAGTATAATTCTAATTCTTACATTCATTTTTACATCTAATTTGACAATATCCGTACATGAAAATGCCTTAAAGAATAGTTGTATTTGACTTTGCCAAAAAAATTATTCTTTTAATATTTTTATTTTATTTGACGTTTTTGTTGCACAAATGTTATTTTATATCTGAGAATAATTTTTGTTAAATACATACTACCTCTGTCCCAAAATACTTAGCCAAATGTTAAAATTTGGATCATGGTTTTGATTAGTATAATACTATGAAAGTTTAAATTTTATAATTTTATGAAAGTACTTTTAATAAGAACATTTTATATCATTTTTATATTATAAATAATTTCCAATAAATATTTATAGTTGATCAAAGTTTTGACATTTTTTACAATATACCTATTTAATTAAATTTTGGCCCTCCCTCAATGCCAATGCTAGATCCGCCCCTGGACAGAGCCCCACATATGGGGGCGCTCATTGCCGGGCTTTTTCACCGGCAATCTCAGCAAAAGGTGAAGGGCCTCTTTGCAGGATGATAAGTCCATATTTAGACACGTATTTTATGCGTGTTGGGATCGACTTGTGATGGTTTTCCTAGCTTTAAGGTTTGACGAGTCTCAATTTTAGGTCAAGTTATGTTTACCAGGCGTTGATTCGAGTTTTATGTCTTTTGGAGTCAAAATCAGGGAATTTGAGCCCAGCACCGACGCTTGAGAAGCAATCGGGATGATTTGAGAAGCATTCGAGAATGAATTGAGAGCTTTGGAGGTCAACGGGATTGATAGAGTAAATCTAGAGAGAAGTGAGAGCTAGAGAGAGAAGTAGTATAATTGTTCTGTATTAATGAATTGTGAACCCTTACAACTACTCTTAGAGGGAGTATTTATAGAAAAAATTAGGACTGAGCTCCCAAGTCTTGGGCTTGGGAGGCCCATTTACAATAGGGCCACTAATGGGCCGGATACAAAGTATATAGAAAAGATTAAGTATAAAACCCTGTTCCGGAGGCCACCTATGGCCGATGAGGGCACGACCGACGAGGGCGTGGCCGACAAAGACCCGGCCGACGAGGTCACCCGGCTCTTCCTGGATTCTGGATCACATTCTGAGTAGACTTCTTTCTGACCGATGAGGGTCATCTGGCCGACGAGGGTCCTCCCGGGTGGTCGTGGTACCTTTCGTTCTCTTGAGTATGTGGGCCCTGGGGTCCTGACCCATATACTCCATCAGGAGTCCCTCACTCTCCAAGCTGAGATGTAGACGAAGTGAGGGAGAGTAGATTTTCTATCTTTGACGTTTTCTGGCCGTCGTGGGACCACTATGGGGTTTTCCCTGTTTTGGCCGTTATTAGCATCCCTTGCTCTGGCTTTTTGTTTGCGCCGTTACGGACACTCCGCGTTCTGGCCGTTGTGTGGTCTTCGTTGTGGACAAAGAGGGCCCTAGTAGTGCGCATGATGCATGTTTCCGGTTTCAAGGATGACAAGTGC